ATCTCAGATTCTCCAGCATCCGCAGTTCCTACTATCTCTGATCTTTAGCATGTAATGTTGTTTCTCTCTCATTGGAAATGAGCATTTCCATAACAATGTGCTTTCTGCCCTAAAGGTTTAATAAGTGGAAGCTGCTATAATTGGTGACATTTCAAGGGCCTGGAAGGATTGACTCTGAATTAAGAGGGCTCTGGCAATCTTCTGATTTGACATGAATCTGCTTTTATAATTGCGTTACTGGCTTTTGTCCTGTCTGGTTCTAAACCCTTTGGCTGCACCATACTATGGAGCATGCAGCACATGATGAAAAATCTGGAATAAAAACAAAGTTCTGCAGAAACTCAGCAGGTCTGGCAGTTATCTGTAGAGAGAAAAACAGAGTTAACGTTTCAAGTCTGATATGACTCTCCTTCAGATTTGTGGCTGGAAAATCATGCAGACAAAACTGTTGACATAGGAAGATGAGCAAATGGAACAGATGGTAAAGGTAACCAAACCAAAAGACAAAGATTGCTAATGGTAGGAGAGGAGACATATAGATCAAAAATAATGTACTAAAGCTTTTAAAATTAATAGAAAATGAGTCAGTTCTGCTGAGAATGAATCAATGAAAACAGTACTGAGGTATTTATAGTTGGGTAGGAGATAGTAATCAGTAATAAAAGATAGAGTACTTCTAGATAGAGTACTTCTTTCTAAATGGAAAACAAAGCTAATTGTACTATATGTTTGCTATACCTGTCATAAACTCAACAATGTAAACACCTTTTCTATTAACGTAACAATGATTTTTAGCTACTAGGTCTCTGACAAATATCTCGTTACGTCACTGTTCCAGAATGACTCCCTGACCTTGACTTTTTTAAATGTGAAAACACTTTAAAATATATCTACAATTACAGATGTTTCATCACATAGTTAAAAGGGTCAGTTTTGCAATGCATTGAAAATCACATTCATTTTTACATCTCTAAGTGCTTCCATTTAGTCAAAATGTACTTAATAACCTCATCTTCATTTCCTATGCTATATTATTAAAATGTCAACCAATATTATCTTTGCAACATCTTCTCAAATAATGATTTCATATGTTCCTCCCTGCCCCTGGAATGTAGAATCATAAAGTGATTAACATCTGATGATCAAACATATTGAAATAGAAAGCATTCAACAAATTGTAGTTAAACAAATCATTGTTGGAAGTATATTTTAATGGATCCTAATGAGTTGCTCAGATAATAAGTTGACTGATAATGTTTGGATTAGTAATCTTCACCATATCTCTGTATCCCTCATTTTCAGTGGCTTTTCATTATACGTCAGCCTTGATTGTAAGCAATCTCACATAATTACTCATTCAGTATCATGTCCTCAAATTCTATGGCTATATCTAAATTCTTTCAGACTGGAAATATTGGATTATAATCTATACACTAACTCCAGCCAAATTCTTTTACCCCTGCGTATAGTCAATGGACACCAAGGGTTTTTCTAAGATTTCAATTGCTGTGTCAACTGAAATCAACTAATTTGGTACAATTAACAAGCTGGACAGAAGTTATACCAATAAAAATGTTTTTGCACATGGAGGAGCATTTTCTTTATGTTTCAAAGCAAATACGATTTGGTTTTTCAAATTAATTTCACAAGGAAATCCTTATATGTGCGAAGGGTTTGATCAATCAACATATTCTATCTAAAATAGAATCACAGAATTGTTCCAGTACAGAAGGAGGCCATTTGGACCAGTGTACATACACAGGTTCTAATACTTGGTGCTAATCTCCTGCCTTTTCCCCATATATCGCCACGTCATTTCAATCAAAAGAACCATCCAATACCCTCTTGAATGTCTTAATTGAACCTACCTCCTCTACATTTTCAGGCAGTGCATTCCACCTAATTATTTGCGATGTAAAATAATTTTCTCTCACGTCACTCATGCTTTGCTTGCCCATCACTTTAAAGCTAAATCCTCTCTCATACTTGTTTTCTTGTTATGAATGGGAACAACTTCTCTGCAACTACTCTGACCAACCCTACTCATGATTTTGAAAACTGCTATGAAGTGTCTTCCCAGCCTCTTTCTGTCCAAGGAGAACAGGCCCTACTTCTTCAATTTATCCACACAACTGAACTGTCTCATTCTTGCTTGAAAAACTGATAAAGTACAATGATTTCAGTTTTACAGTTGATAGATATTATGACCGCAGTTGGAGGTGTTACAGCAGCATACATGCATCACAAGTCTTTACATTTAATGTGTGGCTTAAAGTCACATTCTGCAATTTCTGAGAGGCTAAGTGTTATCTACATTTTTCTTCATAATGCCATGTATGTGCAAAACTCTATCATTTTAATTGACTGTTGTTATACTGGAATATTGCTCATGTTTACACATGTTATTTTCGTGTAACAATAATACTTACAGCAGATATCAAGCCATAAAAGAATTCATTAATGAAAATGATGTTGCTATACACTGCTTCAATGTTAATTTGATTTGCAACTGTTATACCAACTGAAATGCTGCTCAGTATTATTAAGTATTAGTATTAAGTAAGATATCTGCAGGTCAAGTTTCAGGAAGTTTCCTAAAATTACTTATTTTTAAATAGAAAACCAAAGCTAAGATTTGATAAATTATATTGTTATTATTTATCATTCCATTTCTTTTTCTCTTGGAGTGATATAATTTATATGGTTTCTCTGTATAACTGACCTTCGGGGGAGAAAAACAACCAGGTATCCAACTAACCTGTCAAGCTTCATGCTGGACACCATTCAGATGTTCTGGTTGTATTCTGCTATGAAGCTGGGATATGAAAAAAGATTATTGACTGATTAATTTGACAAGAGTCATGATTAAAGTGGGAGGTCTGAGTCAGTTCTCTGTAGCATGCAGGACATTGCAGATTTTAAAGTATTACAGATTTTCTCTGGTGAGGTCTGTGATCAGCGTAACAGCAAACACACATTATAAGTACAATCTAAGTAGTTGCACATGATAAACTGCCTAATCCCAAACTGGAAGCAAAATAATGGGCCGCAGGAGCTCTTTTTCCAACAAGTGCTTCTATGATAGATAAAACTCCAGGACAAGAACCAGCAAAAAAGAAATATTGTCCTGTGGTGTGTGATAAAATTGTCTGGAGCAATTTTGAATTAGATGGGAAACCCTTTTTAATGATTAGTCAGGATGTGAAAATAACTCCAGAGAGGCCAGTATCCAAAATCAAATTGCCCTTTAGTCACACATGCATAGCACTTGACACGAGTCAGGCTTCCTCCAGAGGCAACTCTGAGTGAACAGAACCTCTGACACTCCTGTTTATATCTGTCAGCTAGGGCTCCCTGATTGGGGCTGTTAACATGGTCCAATCAGGGAATTTGAATTCTATGAGGTCTGCCTGGCTGACCTCATTACAACCACTACAGGTCCTATGGTACATGATACATGACTTTTCAGTCCACACTGAGGCTGGGACTGGACCTGCTTCTCCATTGGCTTTTCCAGCTGCATCCTTTTGGAGAGCTGCTTTAGAGGTAGCATGATAGGGATTCCAGGGTTAGACTCCATAAGGTGCTTAATTCAGGTCAACTATAACAGACTGTCAAGGATTTGGTAGTCAGTCTCAGGATCCCTCACCACTGGGGGGCAGTTTTGGTATTTGGTGGCAAGCATTTGGCAGATAGTGTGCTGATCCAGCACTATAGAGAAGTCTGAAGCCTCTCCATAAATTCTTGGATGCAAAGAGCTCAGGGCATCCAAACTACTCCCAATCCACACCCCCCACCTCAATAAAAGCCGTAATGCAATAATGATGGTGGCCTGTTTACTTAAACAATTGTATAACTTAATGCAAAAGACGTTAGAAAGAAGGTCCCTCCATGTTGAAATACTGTGTGTCTCTGTCTTACCTTCCATTAATGTCACTGTTTTTGTTAGCATTTTCTTTTGTCTAATTGACCTTCTAGCTTTGACAGCTTGCCCATAATCCTTGTTTGGATGGAGATGTTGGAGGGAGAGATGTGAACACAGCCCAGTCCATCACGCAAGCCGAACTTCCATCCATTGACTCCATCTATACTTCTCACTGCCAACATAATCAAAGAAACCCCCCACTCCAGTTATAATCGCTTCCAGCCTGGTCTGTCAGGCAGAAGATACAAAAGCTTAAATGCACAAACTGACAGATTCAAGAACAGCTTCTTCCCCGCTGTTAGTAGACTTCTGAATGGACATCTCCAAATTTAAATTTAATGTTGATCTCGTTCTTTGCGCCCTTGTATTCCTCGCTCTGTTCTATTATCCCTATCCACGTTGTATGTTATGATCTGCTGTACCTAGGTACATGTGACAATAAATCAAATCAAAACAGCTTTCAAATAAGGGTGACCACTTAAACATTCATTGGGATTTTGTTTTTTCCTCCTGAGGATGTGTTCAACCTTTTGCTTTCCATCCCAGTGTTTGAACAAGCAGGTTGGTTCGTAAACTCCTGGCATGTGAAGCTTGGCCTGCAGATTATCAATCAGATGGAAATGAGAGGAAGGCTTTAATTAAGGCATGATGCTTGCTGCTCATTGTCTGGGTGGAAGTGCACCCCATATCTGGCACACTCCTGAAATAAACTTTATTTCAGATACAAACTAATCTGAAAATGCTGAACATTTCTGAATTGCAGTCTGCAACAAATAAGCTACATTCCAATTTTCAACGATCCCCGACCTAACAACAATTAAACACCAACCTTCTCAAACCTGGATCAGCAACAATTTGAAATTGGCAGCATTATAGGAATCAGTTTCACCTTAGCAGAGCATATTTCATTGAATATCACTCTATTTCTGCAAAATGCTATTTATCATGTATGCTAGTTACAATGCAATGTTTGCTCGTATTTTCATATATTTAATCCTTTAACACAGCTGTAAATGTATCTTTGTTGTGGTGGTTTTACAGTTGTGACAATGCTTTGCTTTCTACAGGTTGCTACCAACTCTGTAATGTTTTCCGAACACATGACATGGAAATCGACCAGTGTTTACTGGAGTCACTGCCTTTAGGACAGCGACAAAGACTCGTGAAGCGAATGCGTTGTGACCAAATAAAGGCCTACTATGAGCGTGAGAAACTTCTTCAGAAACAGGAAGGGTTCAAATACAAACAGAAACATGGGAAGAAAAACAAGGTCCACTTCATCTCATCAGACATAATCCAGGAAGCTATTATACGACATGATGATAAAGAAGGTAAAATAGTGGTGAAAAAATTTTAATGCGATTCATACTATGCTTATATAATTCCATGGAATATAAAATGAACAAGATCCATCTCCAGATGTGGCATATAGGTGCACATTTAAAGTTGAACATGGAAAGAAAAATAGATCTTCTCATTTAAAAGGACATTTATTGTATCAGAAACAATTCCAAACTGGTTCATTTGACTGATTCTTGGGATGAGTGGTGGGGCAGAGGAACTGTCTTATGAGGAAAGTTTGGGTCGGTGTCCATGAGAGTTTATAAGGATGAGAGGTGATTTTATCCAAACATACAAAATCCTGAAGACATTTGGTCGTGTGGATGCTGAAATGGTGATGTTTCTCCTTGTGTGGGAGACTTGAAGTTGGGACACAGTTCTGAAATAGGGGAGACAGTAGGAACTGCAGATGCTGGTGAATCCGAGACAACAAGGTGCAGGGCTGGATGAACACAGCAGGTCAAGCAGCATCATAGGAGCAGAGAGGCTGACGTTTCGGAGGACAACTGAGATGTACGGGAGTGGAATGCCTCATCCTGGGAGCAGATGCAGCGGAGGCGAAGGAATTGGGAATAGGGGATAGCATTTTTGCAGGAAGGTGGGTGGGAGGAGGAGTATTCTAGGTAGCTGTGGGAGTCAGTGGGCTTGAAATGAAAATCGGTTTCTAGGTGGTTGCCCGATATGGAGACAGAGAGGTCCAGGAAGGGGAGAGAGGTGTTAGAGATGGTCCAGGTAAACTTAAGGTTGGGGTGGAAGGTGTTAGTGAAGTGGATGAACTGTTCGAGCTCCTCATGGGAGCACGAGGCAGCGCCGATACAGTCATCGATGTAACGGAGGAAGAGGTGGGGTTTGGGGCCGGTGTAGGTACGGAAGAGGGATTGTTCCACGTAACCTACAAAGAGGCAGGCGTAGCTTGGGCCCATGCCGGTACCCATGGCCACCCCTTTTGTCTGTAGGAAGTGGGAGGAATTGAAAGAGAAGTTGTTGAGTGTGAGGACGAGTTCGGCTAAGCGGATGAGGGTGTCGTTTTTCCTCGTTTTTCAAGGACCGTAACTTCCCCCCCTCAGTGGTCGAGAACGCCCTCAACCGTGTCTCCCACATCTCCCACAACACATCCCTCACACCCCGTCCACGCAATAAGAACCAAAAAAGAATCCCTCTCGTCCTCACGTACCACCCCACCAACCTCCGGATCCAACGCATCATCCTCCGACACTTCCGCCATCTGCAATCCGACCCCACCACCAAAGACATCTTTCCCTCCCCACCCCTATCTGCTTTCTGGAGGGACCACTCTCTCCGTGACTCCCTTGTCCGCTCCACACTCCCCTCCAGCTCCACCACACCCGGCACTTTTCCCTGCAACCGCAGGAAGTGCTACACCTGCCCCCATACCTCCTCCCTCACCCCCATCCCAGGCCCCAAGAAGACTTTCCACATCAAGCAGATGTTCACCTGCACATCTGCCAATGTGGTATACTGCATCCGCTGTACCCGGTGTGGCTTCCTCTACATCGGGGAAACCAAGCGGAGACTCGGGGACCGCTTTGCAGAACACCTACGCTCGGTTCGCAACAAACAACTGCACCTCCCAGTCGCGAACCATTTCAACTCCCCCTCCCATTCCTCAGACGACATGTCCATCCTGGGCCTCCTGCAGTGCCACAACGATGCCACCCGAAGGTTGCAGGAACAGCAACTCATATTCCGCTTGGGAACCCTGCAGCCCAATGGTATCAATGTGGATTTCACAAGTTTCAAAATCTCCCCTCCCCCCACCGCATCCCAAAACCAGTCCAGCTCGTCCCTGCCTCCCTAACCTGT